AGCAGTCTGCTTGTTCTTCTGAAAACAGCACAAACATCTGTTCATGTCTCAGCTGATAAAGGGTTGTTCTGTTCTTTCCAGACCACCTAATTTGATCTCATTTAACTATGTAGGCTGGAGAAAAGGCAGAGGCATCACAGAGTTCATGTCCTACAGTGCATTGCCAAGTCTGGCCAGAACACAGCAATTTCTTCTAAAAATGCAATCATCCAGCTCAACCTGCAGATGAGTGCTGCTCTGGGCCCGAGCGGGCTGTTGCTCATCACACTTTGTTACTTTCCGTTTGCCTTTTGACTGTTTCCAAAGCACAACTTTGTATCATGATTGCATGCCACTGGGCTGGCCTGTCTGCTCAGGAAGAAGGATTGCTTCACTTTAATAGACACACAATTATGACTCTTTTGGCATGAACACCAAATAAAGTCCTTCAAAACACTAGAGTGAGAATACGCAGACAGCTCTGACACGGCTGAGCTTCATCATGACCGAGTGTCAGAGGAATATATTTTATATGAGGCGTGATGGGACGAATCAGAGGGTCGCTGACATGTTTTAGCTGTTCCTGCTTGTGTGAATCAGCCTGTTTATAAGTGACTTCAATGAAAAGAGACATAAAAGATTTGATGGTTTTTTCCTTTTGCTGAGCTCATGAGCATGTCACGCCGTCCTTTTCTATTGACTGCTTGGTTATGTGGTTTGAAATTTGCTCATAAGTGATGTGTACCTTTGCTAGAGCTGTGGACAGGTGTGTCCATGCAGCAGCACATGGCACAGTTTTTACCCGGTGAGGCACTTTACAGGGGTTTCAGCGTGGGGGCGCGGGCTGTACCACCATGAAATATCCATAGGGGAGTCTGAGTTGTTGTGCTGCAGCAGCTGATGCTAAGGCCCAGTCTGACTCAGGTTAGCTGTCCTTGCAGTGCTGATTAGTTTCCACAGCTGTGGTGCTATTTAAAGCAGTCCCCTTGTTGTCCCTAATACCCCACCGGACTCGGAAACAGAGGAGGAGCACGACCCCAGTGCCCCGAGAGCTCACTGAACAGCACCCAGACCAGCTAATGCTTTAATCTGGGCAGGAAGTGCAACGGACATGTGAAGTTCATGTGACCATTCAAATGCAAACATCAGGCAAAGTCGAGACGCAGATACAACAATCCAAAGTTCGATGCCTGCTTGAAGTGTAGTGACCTTGGCAAACGCTCTGTTTATTATCTACACTGTGCACTGTTGTTGAATTGTGTGCAAAGAACGAGTTAACACAACAACTTTCAAACAGTCTTAATGTTGTTTCCTCAAAGGACTCCTCGAGCTTTTCCCAGTTCTTTCTTTTGCAGAGGCACCGTGACTCTCATGTTTCACTTAGAAGTGCAACACTAGCCCGAGTTTTAGCTCTTCAGTTTGGGAGGGGGGGTCCAAAATATCAACACCTCTCACATAGTCACAGTGTAATTGCTAGAATCATGAAGCTTTCCTACATTTTTGGCATGTCCAAAAAGTGGATATGACCAAAGCTTTGACAGTTGAGCAGCATGATCAGCAGAGCCTTTTGTGCAGCCTCTCAAAGACTGTCTGCAACATTCCTGGAGTGCTTGAATGGGGACTTAACTTTGTGCACTTTCTGCTGGATGCCTGCGTGGTCAGTGAGTCAGCAGCTGTGCATGGGGGCATTAGAGCGGGCTGTCTGCAGCCAGGTTTCTATTTACATCCACCTACAGTGAGAGAAACACTTTGTCACCTCAGTTTAAAGAAGAAGGCTTATCAGCACGGAGCTGTTATTCAGTTATTTGACTTAAGATAAGTTAAACAGATGCCTGGTTTCTGAGCGCATGTGACACACTGAACAACTGGATTTGTGTTGGCACAACAATGTCAGCACCAACTGTCACTGCATAGCACACTGACAGCGACATCGAGGTCATTTTAGAAGAAAGGGCGAGCTGCTGTCCCTCTGAATTGATAAGTCCTGAATCTGCGCTGAACTGGATAAGGAGCAGATAATTATAATCTGCATTTAGACTCCAGTTCTACCAACAGTCCAAACAAGCTGCTCTTATCTCAGCAGTGCGTCCTTGGTTAACAACAACAACAACAACAACAACAATAATGATGATGATGATGCAAGGTACTCATTTTGTTCATTCTAAAAACAAAACATCAGACAAATTAATAAAAACCGACAAACTGCACAGAAGTGATAACCTATCCATCTGTTGTCATTGGTATGAACAGCAATAATTAGCTCGCTAATTACACTTTTGTAATGATCTTTTCATAAATACATAAATAATAATCTGACAAAAGTAACTCTGTGTTACTGTATTTATTTCTGTTCATCTTAAACAAAATGAAAAAGAAAGGCTTCGAGATTATTTATGCAGCTGTGAGTAAATGACCGCGATAGGGCCGTGCGCCGGTGCGCGCGCATGTGTGCAGGAGCGCGTGCGGGGCTGAACAGCTGAACCTGCAGCAGGCGCGCGCGGAATGCAGTATCCGGTAGAAAGTAACGGTACTTTTAAGGAAACTGCTCACCAACAGGCAACCAGCAACCAGAAGCCAGTGGAGTGGGTGGAAGCGGTCGCTCCTCGGATTGTTCCGCACTCTACGTTTTGTGGCTTTCCAGAGGAATAAGAAATAAAATCAATCAAAGCAGGAGGACGAAAGCACTGAAGAGGTAACGTCTGGTTTCATGATTCTGTAGCACGAGGGGGGGTTTGAAAAGACCAAAGTGTGTTTTTAGATTATTCACCTACACCCTGAATTAACCAACCCTTTGGTCACTGCGGCCATGCTCATTGTGCGGCTCTAGCTTCACTGCTTAACAATAGTTTTAAACGTGACTGAGGTTAGAATCAGGATTTATGTCATGATTTTGCCAGCTGTGCACAGAAATCACTTTTGTTTAAATATTGAGAGTATTTATTACAAAGCAGGGTTTTTATTTATCAGCAGCAATAGATTTATAATGGATTTCTTTTTTTTAAAAAAACCTCTAAATTGGAATTGAAACAGTCAGAATATGGCGTGAAGATCCACAACGGGCAACAAACACTGTCACTCATTCACCTCTTAAAATGAGGGTGGAAAATCCAATCAGCCGTCCCTAAATCAAGCTACACCCTACCAGACGCCCCGGCTCCAGCAGTGTGTTGTAGGCCTAAAATCATGCCTGGACTAAATTGATAACTGTAATTGCTTCAATGAGCCGCTCTCTGCTATAATGTAAAAGTGCTTCGATACTTCTGAAGTGGGGCTGAGCCCACCTGTGAGGCCTACAGTGATCCGCCTCAGTGTGTTGACTGTTGGTTCAGTGGCAGAGCTTCTGATTGGCTGTGCCGGGTCACAGTGAGATCTTCATATCTGAAAGGTATTTGGGGACGCTGATACACAGCAACAGTTTTAGTGTGGGGTGACTAACAGCCCAAACAGCTCTCATTCATCCAGTTGTCCTGCTCTCAGTTTGGCCATTTTGTCGAGGGTCTGTGGGGCGACATGTGGGTGCCAGCTTGAGCTGTGTCCAACTGCCTATCAGTCATCAGAAATAGTCACGATCACATGCCCGAGAGCCACAAGTGGGCTATAAATAGGGCCGGCAAGCTTCCATTGCACTCTTTCTCCAGATACTGAGTAACGGCTCTGCAGTGGTAACAATGTGACAATGCAGACAGACAGTAACTGTGAAATGTAGCAAAACGACAGTAAAGTGCTACATTGATATTCAGCTAAAGGATAGAAAATAAAATTAGGCAAAGATAGAAATGGCATTAAAATGATTGATTCAAAACACAGATTAATAAAAAAAACTTTAAAATTAGGATTTTAATCATGTAAAATTAATTAGTATTAATTAATTAGTAATTAATTAATGTAAAATTAGTCTGCCATGTTGTCGGCTAAAGGGAGCACTTCTGTGC